AAGACAATTTTTAAATTCCGTAGGCATGAATGTCTCACAATGACGTAATTTAACTCTTTGGTTATACACAGTATTGTTAGTGTTTGCGCCAAACGCTAAAATTTAAAATTAGTATAACTGAGACTTGTTAGCACTCTTCGTCGATGTACTTAGCTCGGCGGGCACGCGGCTAGCAGGCGCCTCCCCGCCCGCGCTGAACGCGGAGGAGATCTGGTATTTGTCGTCAAGCGGCAACCGGGCATTACTTACTGTGAGTCGAATCGAGCCACGTGGCGCCGAATTTGTTAACGAATTTGTGCAGCGACGAATAATCGTGAATTTTTTTTCGCTCATGGATGATTTGATCGAGGCGGGGGCCAAGGATGCGGAGGAAGCGCGTGAAGCTAGACTGAGGGGCTTGTCCGAGTCTCCTCGGAAGCAGCCTACTCAGCCGGAGCTGTTAGGATGACTCCCGACTCTGAACCTACCAAGGTTCTCCGGGGTCCTCTCCGAATGGCTGACGTTCGTCGGTCTGTTTGACAGCCTGGTAGACGCCCGGAGGGACTTGCCACGCAGCCAGAAAATGGGGTACCTCCTAGCCTCATTGGAGGGGGAGGCCCTGGGCGTCGTCGGTCACCTGAACTTGTCGGACGACGCCTACCAGAATGCTCGGGACCTCCTCGCCGGAAGGTACGCCAACGTCCGCCGGATTGCGGACGACTACGTTCGGAAGCTGCTAAACCTCCCGCTGCTTAAGGATCGGACCAGTCTACGTACGGACATCGTAAATCCAGTCGTGGTGGCTTGCAACTCATTGAGGCGGCTGGATTTACCGGTGGACGAATGGTCTTTTTTATTGCTTCACATTGTGCTGTCTTGCCTGCCTCTCGGCCTTCGGCTCCACTTCGAGGAGAGGTACGGCGAGGACGGCGCCTCCTATATTCCTCCCTTCAGGGATCTACTGCGGTTCTTGGAGGAGCAGTGCAGGCAGATGGAGAACGCAGCAGGCGCTTTAGAGGAACCCCAGGTTGTCGCCCGAGCGGTGCCCAGGGAGAGACGGAATCCGACGGCCAAGACGTCGCCAACCCCCCTGAGACCGAGTGGAGCTCCCGCGGGAGAGCGCCACCCCCTACCCTCTTATAGTGGCCTAGCGGCCAGGGAGGTGCCCCCCTGCTCCTTCCTATTCCTTGTTGGTAAACCACCCGCTGTGGTGGGGTCCCAGTTGGTTGACTGAGCCTCAGTCATTCTGGCCCCAGGGGAAATTACTCCGAACCGATTGAATTGCCTGGCCTACGAGTCCGAGTAGAAGTGGGCAAGGATAAGCCCACTCGGGATCTCTCTCTCTTCTTGAACGGTACAGCTCTCTCGATAAGCTCTTAGGAGTGGCTGCTTGGTTGCGCCGATTTGTCCGCAATTCGAGAGACCCGTCCAAACGAATCTCTGATTTCGTTTTGTCCCCTAGCGAGCGTCGTGAAGCTTTGATGCATTGGACTCGTATGGTTCCAAGCGGAGCATTTTGAGCCCGTGATTGAAAACTTGAAGCGGAGCTCCGTTGTCAAGGGTGCTCTGGCCCGTCTGAACCTCTTCCTGGATGACGTTGAGATGCTGCGCGTTAGCGGACATTTGAGAAATTCCCAACTGCCGTACGGGTCTCGACACCCGTTACTGCTCCCCAGTGACGGCGCCTTTGTCCGGTTGCTGGTAACCTACCATCATGTTAAGAACGCCCACGCTGGGTGTAACGCTCTTTCGGCTATTCTGCATCGGGAGTTTTGGATTTTGGCTGGCCGACGCACCATTCGGAGCGTCATCTTTAAGTGCATACCATGTTATAAACTGAAGGCCACCGTATCGCAGCCTATGATGGGTGACTTACCACCCAACCGCGTCAGGGCCATCCGACCATTCGCTGGAGTCGGAACAGACTTTGCTGGCCCCCTCCTCGTCAAGTCCTCCAACCTTCGTAACGCGCGTTCACATAAGGCCTATCTGTGCGTTTTCGTGTGCCTCTCCACTAAGGCCGTTCACTTAGAACTGGTAAGTGCCCTCAGCACTGAAGCCTTTGTGGCCACGCTGGGCCGCTACGTATCGCGTCGCGGTCTGCCGGACCTGATCCGGTCTGATTGCGGAACGAATTATAAGGGCACTGATAGATATATGAAAGAGGTCGTCGAATTTCTGTCCAACAACAGGGCGTATTTAGGTACTGCGATGTCCAAGAAGGGCATCCAGTGGAAATTCGACCCTCCGGCTTGTCCACACTAGGGGCGGTATTTTTGAGGCGGTGGTTAAAGTTGCAAAAACGCATCTCCGTCGCGTTATTGGCAAAACTATTTTGACGTTTGAGGAGCTTGCCACTGTATTCTGTAAAATTGAGACTGTACTCAACTCTCGGCCCCTCTGTCCTCTCTCGTCCGATCCGAATGATTTGGAGATTCTAACCCCGGGCCACTTCCTGATTGGCCAGCCGCTTAACGCCCTACCCGAGTACCCCTTCACGGAAGTAAACTCTTCGCGGCTGAGCAGATTTGACCTGCTGCAACAGATGACTCACAGTTTTTGGCACCGATAGTCTCTGGAGTACCTACATCTTTTGCAGCAGCGCACTAAGTGGTCTAACAAGACGGATCCTCCTCGGGTTGGAGACCTCGTGTTAGTTAAAGAACCTAACGCTTTGCCTTTGTATTGGCGCCGTGGGCGCATTGTTAAGTTGTCGTATGGATCGGATGGGGTGCCTAGGGTGGCCGAGGTTTTGGTTGGAGATTCGGTCTTGCAACGGGCCGTCGCGACCCTATCCCGTTTGCCAATTTACTCGCGGACATAAGTCCTTATGCCCGGGACGGGGGTTTGTTTGCGCCAAACGCTAAAATTTAAAATTACTATAACTGAGACTCTTTAGCGCGCTTCGTCGATGTACTTAGCTCGGCGGGCACGCGTCTAGCAGGCACCTCCCCACCCACGCTGAGCGCGGGGGAGATCCGGTATTTGTCGTCAAGCGGCAGCCGGGTATTGCTTACTGTGAGTCGAATCGAGCCACGTGGCGCCGAATTTGTTAACGAATTTGTGCAGCGACGAATAATCGTGTAGTCTAGAACATTAGTTGCCAGGTTGGCTAATTATTGAGAAGTTAGTGTTTAATTGTACCGTTGCGATAAGCCCTTTAAAAGGTCGCGTTCGGTTTTCGAAACAATTTGTTGCGGAGTGAGCGAAAGTGAACTTTGACCCACGAGTCGTGCCGCGTGTTACGCTTTATAATTAACGGGATTTAGTTACGTCTTGAAGTTAGTTAAATGTACGATAAAGTTAATAGACTGACATAGTGAATTGAAGAAGGAAATAGTCCATTGCTGCCGCCGCTGGAGAATACCAAGCCGGGAGGCGGTGCCAGAGTTAGGGTAGCTGCTGATTAAAAAGGTCTAATTCGGGTTAAACACACAAACACTTCTCATACACTACTCACATTCACGACAATTACGCCTGAACGAGCCCTGGGAGCCTTCCTCGCCTCTGAACAGGTACGTACTATTTATTCACCTAGCCTTCTTCCTGTTGTGTAGTAGGATACGACATTTTCCATAAGGCCAGTTGGGTCCCGTTCTTAATTGTCCGTCGAACCTAACAGCTGTATGGGCCCCTGTACGGTAGACCTTTGTAGGGACAGCTAGGAGCGTGAACAGTTATTATTATCATTATCGTCGTATATAAAAAAGATATTCATCTTTTTTACATACGACGAATAGATCTTTTTGTTTGTCCTATGTACGAGAGACCACATTCACAATCCAGCTTGTACACTCCTGCATCTTGTAGAGGTATATGACACTTGACGGATGGTAAAAATTGACCAATCTTCTTCAGCGGCTTGAAGTACGTTTTAATGGAAGCTCGCTTCAAGATGTAGCCAAGCTCGGCGGCCAGATGTTTTCTGTCACAGATCCCTCGTGCTCTCTGAAACAAAGATTTTCCCACGGTAGCTAACTGTGAAGGATGATGTTGAGATTCACCATTTAAATATCGGTTGGTATGGGTATTTTTTCTGTACACAGTATGACCAATAGTGTTATCAGGATTTCGGATGACTAAAACATCTAGAAAAGCTAAAGTATTGTTTGCCTCTAACTCCATTGTGAATTGTATTTTAGGGTGTATGGAATTAAGGTGGTTTAAAAATGCAGTTACTTTGTCAGATGGTAAAATTGTGAAAGTATCGTCTACGTACCGCTTGTAGAATCTTGGATTTACAGAAGCAGTAAGAAGGGCTTTCTCCTCAAAGTCCTCCATGAATATGTCGGCGACTACGGGGTACAGGTGAGCCCATTGCCACTCCGTCTACTTGCATGTAGAACTCTTCTTTCCACAATAAATAGCCAGATGTGAGGCAGTGTTTGAGTAATACTGCATATTCTGTAGGCATGTTGTTATCTTCTAGCTTTCCAGTAACAATTGAGATGCAGTCTTCAATAGGTAGGCATGTGAATAGTGACTGAACATCAAAACTGACCATAGTTTCATTGTCAGCGAAATGTAGGTCTTTAATCTCACTAACAAATTGGTATGAATCCTTTGTGTGTGCTCTGGTATGTCCTCTTAGTGGTGACAGTATTTTTGCCAAGTGTTGAGCCAACTTATAAGTTGGTGAATCGATCTGGCTTACTATAGGACGTAGTGGAGCGTTTGCTTTGTGTATTTTCGGTAACCCATACAACCTCGGTGGTTTGGCACATGATGGTATTGTCGAATTCACGTCAAGATCTAATTTTTCGGAGTATTTCTTTATTAAATCAGTATTTGTTTTGAGTGTATTAGTTGTAGGGTCTATTTTGACTTCGTTTTTCTTCCAGTGAGTTAAAGACAGTTTTAACGACATTTGATTTTAATAATTGCATTGAAACTTTAAACAAACGCGAAATATCGAAATATAATGAATGCAAAGACAAACAAATAGAAAAATACCAAAAATTAACTATCAAATCAAATGCCAAACATCCATGTCAACGTAGAAACGAAACGCAACAACCGTTGACCACAGTCGCAAACAAAAAACAACGCACGGTCTATAATTTGTCAAAAGAAACACTGGACGAACCTACAATAAAAGTATTGTCGAAAGGCTTAAATTTTGCTATAACGCCGCAAAAAATCCCGTACGAGGAAATTATCTGTAGTGTTGAGGATTGTCTGTTTAAGAATAATATCGGTAAAGAGGATTTAGAGGCTATACGTCAAGACATTTCGTTCTTGTTACGTCGAAGTTCAGCGCCGAAACTAAATCTTCCCAAAGACGAATTTAAAGCGTTGTACAACTTACGCAACAGACTCGAGCTCACGATTCTCCGCGCGGATAAAGGAAATGCTACGGTAATAATGGACACGTCAGAGTATAATTTCAAAATACAACAACTTTTATCGGACGTAAGTACATACAAAAAGGTCAAAATAGACCCTACAACTAATACACTCAAAACAACTACTGATTTAATAAAGAAATACTCCGAAAAATTAGATCTTGACGTGAATTCGACAATACCATCATGTGCCAAACCACCGAGGTTGTATGGGTTACCGAAAATACACAAAGCAAACGCTCCACTACGTCCTATAGTAAGCCAGATCGATTCACCAACTTATAAGTTGGCTCAATACTTGGCAAAAATACTGTCACCACTAAGAGGACATACCAGAGCACACACAAAGGATTCATACCAATTTGTTAATGAGATTAAAGACTTACATCTCGCTGACAATGAAACTATGGTCAGTTTTGATGTTCAGTCACTATTCACATGCCTACCTATTGAAGACTGCATCTCAATTGTTACTAGAAAGCTAGAAGTTAACAACATGCCTACAGAATATGCAGTATTACTCAAACACTGCCTCACATCTGGCTATTTATTGTGGAAAGAAGAGTTCTACATGCAAGTAGACGGAGTGGCAATGGGCTCACCTGTACCCCGTAGTCGCCGACATATTCATGGAGGACTTTGAGGAGAAAGCCCTTCTTACTGCTCCTGTAAATCCAAGATTCTATAAGCGGTACGTAGACGATACTTTCACAATTTTACCATCTGACAAAGTAACTGCATTTTTAAACCACCTCAATTCCATAAACCCTAAAATACTATTCACAATGGAGTTAGAGGCAAACAATCCTTTAGCTTTTCTAGATGTTTTAGTCATCCGAAATCCCGATAACACTATTGGTCATACTGTGTACAGAAAAAATACCCATACCAACCGATATTTAAATGGTGAATCTCACCATCATCCTTCACAGTTAGCTACCGTGGGAAAATCTTTGTTTCAGAGAGCACGAGGGATCTGTGACAGAAAACATCTGGCCGCCGAGCTTCAGCACGTCGAGCAAGTACTGCAAGACAACAAGCTTCGGGTTCCGCGCCTACGTCACAGTGACCGAGTGAAGCTAGCCACAGTCGAGCGTGTGCCTGCTGTACTACCCTATGTCAGAGGAGTCACAGACAAGGTTGGCTACATCTTGAAGCGAGCTTCCATTAAAACGTACTTCAAGCCGCTGAAGAAGATTGGTCAATTTTTACCATCCGTCAAGTGTCATATCCCTCTACAAGATGCAGGAGTGTACAAGCTGGATTGTGAATGTGGTCTCTCGTACATAGGATAAACAAAAAGATCTATTAAAACCCGCGTTAAAGAACATATAGCTGACGTGAAGCACCGACATATCGGGAAGTCTGCAGTTTGCGAACATGTTCAGGATCGTCCCCGTCATTACATTAGATTTGATAGACTACAAATCCTCGCAAAAGAACACCGATTCCTCCCAAGGATGATTCGCGAGGCTATTGAAATTAAAAAACATCCTAGTTTCAATAGAGAAGATGGATGGGTGCTGCCATCTTCTTGGGATCCCATAATTAATAAAATCAAATCCAAACCCAAGTATACCACTGCTAGACTTCAAGATACTGTAAGCTCATTCTGCGTAAATCGAACCAAAAATTAATATTAAAAAACTGAAGGTAGCCGGGCTAACTATGACAGCAGGACGTCAAACAACTCACCCCGTGACCACGGGTGCTGGAAAGCACCCGAAACGTCGGGAACATAAAAATAAGTTAATATACGCGATAAAATCCGTAAAATTAGTTTTATTTAAAAATGTGTAGTGATCGCGTAAATATAAGAAATCATTATCGTAATTATAACTTGGAGAGGAAAGGATATACGGTGTAGATACATGAGACGAACAATCAAAGCTATTAAAAATAAGATCACAATGACTCACCTGAGTTTGTGGCTTACTTGTACATTGTGATGACAGCTGAAGGACAGGAGAAATAGTTTACCTCGACAGAGTTGAATTCAGAGTTACATTTCGAATATTCTGAACGAATCACTCCTTTCTCTCTGCAACTGTAACGCATTATACTAGCCGTAGACGAAACAATGTTCATATTACAGTCTTGTTTGTTCAATTTACGACATTCCTCACGTCTATGTCCATAGTTTTTACAATAAACACAATACTTTCTTGAGACTTTGAATTGCTTATTTTCATTTCGGTTTTCGATCATAGATGGTTTGGGTTCCACTGGGAAGACCGAAGACATGTTTGCGTTTGTGACACGAGTAGTTCGTGTGTTGCGCTGCTTTGTGTGCTCCGAGGTGCTATTGCTCTGCGCATGATGACCAGAAAACGGTACGGGTCGTGTTCGGCAAACGGCTGGACCCGTGACATAGCGAGTCTGTGTGTCCATAGAATCTTCTATTTGGCGGGCACGTTCTAGTGGTTCCAGGAAGGAGCAAATTTCTTCTCGTCGGATGCGCTTTTTAATGGTTGTATTTAACAATCCATACATCATATCTAATTGAACTTTTTCGGTGAGATCACCCTGAGGTAATTTCATTAGAAGCGCTCGAGCCTTTGATACAAATAAATCAGTCTTTTCATTCTCTTGTTGTGTCTGAGAGAATAAGTCTCGATAAATCTTGTGTGGTGGACGCCGATCTCTAAATGCACATCGAATGTTATGGACGGCGTCATGCCAGTCTGTGACCTGGGGCTTTATACCTTGCCACCAGGTAGCTGCTTCATGGGACAGCAGCATCGAGAAACCGCGAAGGGCGTTGGCATCTGACACATTTACACAGTCCTCGTACTTTTCAACAGCATCGAGAAATCCTTCCAATGACTCGTTGGGTGCGCCGCTGAACCTTGCTTTGCAATTAGCAAAATTCCCTGTATGTTCGGTGGTACTCTGCCATATCTCAAATTGATCACCTTACTGAAACTATGAAAAAGTGTTTTCCTGATGAAGCCGCGAATATCAAAATGCACAGAACGAAGTCTACTGAAGTGATTAAAAATGTTTTGGCTCCTCACTTCATTCAGACGTTAATAAATGAATCGGATCACACAAGTATAGCATCTTGCTCGATGAGTTCACCGATCTTAACGTATCCAAATATTTGGGATTGGTGTTACGATATTTCAGTCCCGCAAGAAACACTGTAGTGTCATCTTTTCTGGCTTTGGAACGTCTGATCACAGCTGATGCTCGTGGTATTGTAAATGCCTTGCTGAAATGTTTGGGAAGACACGGTATACCACTGAAAAACATGATTGGATTGGATTGGGATGCGATAACGCTTCTGTTATGATCGGTATAAATAACGGCGTACATAATATTCTTAAAACTGAATACGGATTAACAAATCTAGTTCTTGTGAAATGCGTATGCCATTCATTACAACTAGCCGTGTCTCATGCTTCCGAACACACATTGCCCAGAAATATTGAATTTCTTATCAGGGAAACTCACAATTGGTTTTCAAATTCACCTAAACGCAGAGAAGAGTACAAAGAACTGTACCAGTTAAAATTAAAAAAAAAATTGTGGCGAGAATCCTTTGAAAATGTTGAGATCTTGTGCAAACCGCTGGCTGTCAGTAGAGCAGGCAGTAACGAGGATTTTGTCGCAGTGGGATGACTTAAAACTACATTTTTCACTTCATCATTCATCATCATTACAGCCTTTCATAAGTTCACTGCTGAACATAGGCCTCCTCCAAGGAATGGCACAAATCACGGTTACTAGAGATAAATGTTACACCTCTGACATACTTCACGCAATGTTTTCGGACGAGTCTAATCACTTGTACCTCTGTTATTTGAGACGCATTTTGAATGACGTCCAAATAGGAGTAAAATGTTTTGAAAGCGAAGATTGTAACCCTGTGGCATTGCTTAGCATTTTGATGACGCTTCTGCGCTCCGTTTGTACAAGAATAATGATGCCATCAGCTGCAACCGCCAATGATGATTTTTTACGTATTCAAATTGAAGGGCATCTGAACCCTGCCCCATATTTAGGGTATTTATTTGAAACGCAGGCGAGCAAATCAGCATTGCCTGTTGAAATTACAAATGCTGTTAGAAAACGGTGCATTGATTTTAACATTAAACTGGTAAAAGAAATTCAGCAGAGGCTACCAAGTAACTTCACTATATTAGAGAAAATGTCTCAGTTTAGTGTTGAAAACACATTTCGACAAGTAAAAGACAACTCAGTTACATAAGTAGCTTCTGAAATGGGTGTGGATGCTGAAACAATTGCAGCAATGGCAGACCATCAACTTTGTTAAATGGCAGAATACAAAAAATATAATTAGTTTCTGGGTTGAAGTTCTGGAATACAAAAACGCAGCTGGAATAAATAGTTTCCAAGAATTAGCTGATTCCGCAATCTCAGTGATATCTCTTCCTCACTCCAATGCCGCTGTAGAGAGAATTTTCAGTACTATGAATATCATCAAAAGCAAATTAAGAAACAGGATGAACATCAGCACTTTGAACAGCATTCTCTTTATTAAAAATAGGCTAAAAGTTTTGAATGAACAATGCTACACCTACGAACTCCCAGAAGAAGTAATTGCGGAAGTAGGAAAAGTTAAAAAGTATTCATTTAGAAATTCTAAAAAGGAAAGTGATGGCACTACTGCCATATTGCCGATGCCGTTAACATCAACATCATCGGGAACAGAAGTTTCGGTGGACGGGGCGGACGTGATTGACGACGAGTTATTCCTAATTCTTGATGATTCTATGAATTTTTAAACGTTTGATTAAAAATTGAAAAACTAATAATAAAAATTTTAAACTTCTTACTAAGAACTATAACTTTAATATGTTTAAACTAAAAAATATTAAAAATAATTGAAACATTGACGTTCTTTGTGTTTTTATTTCATGTTTATGACCATTTAATGAAATACTGCGATGAATAACGATTTTATGATGATATGATGAGTAATCATGACTAAGTAGGATCTAGGGAATTCTAAAGAATTTTTAATATCCTGAATTCTCATAATCTAGCGAGATTCGATGGTATAGTGAATTGTCCTAATTGAAGTTGGCAACACTGTCTTTGTTTGTAATAATAACAAGAAGGGCTTTTGGCGGGAAATTGACCGGCGGCAGTTTGCTGCTCCTGTATTATTGTTTAAATAATGGTTTGAAGTGGACTTTGATATGTAAAAGTGTTGCGATTTTGTGTATTAAGTGTCTACGCATGTGAACTATTAGTGGAAACAGTGAAACAAGTGCTCTGATGGTGATGGATTCTCAAGATAAGCTGTTTGTTTGCATAGGCACCTTTAGATACCATCGCCAACTGTCAGCTGTCTGCTGGATCAAGTTGCCGCCAAAATCTCCCAAGAACTGCACAATGTGACGCATCAACATATTGTGAAGCAGTATACTATGAAGGAGTGGGGAAATTACAATAAACCGAATAAAAATACTTAAGACTTGGCCTAAAGGTCTAGATACCAGGCCATAAACTCCAAAAAAAAAATAATAATAACAAGAGAAAAGTCCGGTTTGTTGATGAAAAAGAGAATCCAATAATCAATTTTAATAAAGGTATAGAAAACAACAATGGCCTTTAATGAAGGTGAAGTTTGTAGAATTTGTTTAAGCGTTAATATACGCATGTTTGCACTAGAGGAGACTGGCCTCCAAAATTTGTATAAGACATTGACGAACAGTTTTGTAAGTTTTATTTTATTATTATTTATTTATTCCTAAATGAAGTTGCGGTAATTTGTTATTATCACTGGAGAAATACATTATGATGCCCGATATATGTTCTAAGATGTAGCGTTAAATATAGTGACAAATACAACCAGAACCTGAAAAATAACAATTAGCCTGGTATCCTGGGTCGCACTAAAATCAGTATTATCATTTAAGTAAAGCCTAGTAGGATATACTTGGGTACGCAAGGAGCGGCATATTGCACAACATTTTTCTTAACTACTACGTGGAATGTCGCGTGACATAAGACATATGTCGCGGAACTTTTTGCATGCCACAATAGTCAGTGCAACAGAGTACCTTTGTATAAACCGAAACCTTTGTATCTGACGGATCTTTTGTGAATTTTACTTTAATGTCAACATCTGATTTTGAAATTTTATAACAAATGATCGGACCTTCCATAGCCAAACAGGATACTATACTACGGAATGCTATTGCTCTCATATCAGTATCAGAATTGCCATTGCATTAAGATACTTGTCGACTGGAGTTTCTTATGCTTCCTTGTCGTACACTTTTCAAGTGTTGCTGATCGGCAGAATAGTACCAGAGTTAGTGGTTAGAAGTATCTATATGATGGTATTCGCGCTTTTGATATAAAATACATTTCTAAATCAATGGTGCAACTTATTACTTACTTAATTAATCAATGCCTTAAAATGTCCATTTATCCAGACATACTAAAAATAGGTGTAATCCGACCAATCTATAAAAAAGGCAAACATAATGACTAACAATTATTGTCCTATAACTATTCTCTCCTGCCTAAATAAAATAATTGAGCGTTATTTGAGCAATGAACTAAACAATTACCTGAATACTTACAGTATAATAAATTCAAAACAGTTTGGTTTTCAAAAAAATAAAAGCACAACGCAACTATTACGGCAATTTACTGATGAAATAAATAATTATCTAGATAATAAAATGCATATTTTAGTAATATTTATTGATTTTAGTAAAGCATTCTATCTATTGAATTTTGACACATTATACAATGAGCTATCACGCTGCGGCATTCAAGGACCATTCCTAGAACTTCTTAAAAGTTATCATCATAATCGTTATACCACTGTCAAAATATGTAACCAGACAGGTGATATGTTTGTGACTGACCGGGGTACAGCACAGGGTTCGATTCTGGGCACGACTGAGTACTTGTTATTTGTAAATGATATGGTTAATGCAATAACTAAGGGTTCTATATATCAATTTGCCGATAACACCTGTATCGTTATTGCCGATCGTAGTATGGATGTAGCACAACCTGAAATGCAGGCAAGTTATGACATGCTATGCAAGTGGGCACATGATGTCGGCCTAGTGGTGAACGCTCAAAAAACAAAACTTGTTCATATACACTCATCTTACATCAAAATTACCACTGCACCGACTATCATTTCCCATGGCCATGAATGTCTCCACGGAATGTTTCAACACTGTACTTGTCAACCTATTGAAAATGCCAAAAATGACATGTTTATTATTGACGAACGGTTTTGCTGGAGAGCGCATAAAGATCACGTGTGTGCAAAACTTCGCTCTGTGTTAAGTAAACTTTATGTTTTAAAATTTAAGCTACCATGTAAAATACTTAGATTACTTTACATGGCTCTAGCAGATTCTGTTATAAATTATGGACTTAGCAGTTATGGAAGAACTTATGTAACATACATACATAAAATTTACACACTACAAAGCAAAGTGCTTAGATTGATAGTACATAAGCATAAGCACATGAAAAATAAGTATATATATAATGACCGGGGTCTTTTTAATTATTGCAAAGTCATCAATGTTTTCGATAAAGTTAAATTTAATATACTGACTGAAGTAAATAATTCAGAATACCTAGTTCTTAGAAAACGACCTGTAAATCTACGAAATATAGCTTATAAATCCAACATGTATGTACTTCCGAAAACTAAAAATTTCTATGGAGCAAGAAAGTTGGCCCATCTTGTACCTACTTTTATTAATGCCTTGCCACTAGAATTACAAAACACATATGGTAAATCAAAACTGTTTAAAAGTAAACTTAAATCATATTTGATAAATCAACCATACTTATTATAGTAAGTACTTCATACTGGATTATTGTGATTTAATATTAATACATCTTTGTTTTTATAAGACGACTCTCTAGTGTAGATAAACCCCTAGAGGTTTATATGCTAGTATTGTACTGGATAATGTAACATAATTATGCTTAATAAATAAAAAATAAAAAATCCCATAACAAAACATGACTCTGGTAAAATTCAAGAAGTAAAAACACGGTTTTCTTTCCACACAACTGACATGTTGCAAGACAAGTTGTGCACACAACTACACCCCGTAACAAACGATGTGACATTGATGCTGGACATGTGCACTCGCTCGAGGAGAGGGAGCAAGCAACATGTCCCTCATCACTTACAATGTTCTGGGTCACTGTGCAATGTTGTATTGTCATGTAGATTGAGTGTTCCACATCATGTTGTGGGACAAAATGGCCCCTAGTGTATCCTGGGCTTAATTGTACTACATACTAAAAGATACACCGAGACTGTTTGCAACACGCGTTAGAGCCCGAGGGCCTAAATTTACTGAGTCTGTGCCACAAAAAGTGCCCTGGGCCTCCTTCGATGCAACCCACACTGCTGCATAGATTTTGTTCCTGGTGTCTGTTCTAGTACATATTCCTTGAATGAGTATTATTGTGATTTTCTATCAAGAAATTAACATTTACCCTGGTTTCATTGTTCAGCCAATTAAAACAGTTCTATTCGACTATTAAAGTGAGAGAATAGAGTAGAAAAATTTATTATCATTATTTTATATGTGGTGGAGCCAGGCTGCAGCTATATTATGGTTGTATCATGGATGGGTCGGGTCGACCGGGGTGGTACTACACTTTCAAAGAATGTGTAGTACCACCCACCACCCTGTGTATTGTTTCCATATCCTCCTACCACAAGCATTATCAGTTTACTTAGAGTGATGAGAGAAGTATTTGTAATGTTTTTAGTGATGATAGCAGTTTGAAGTTAATGTAAGTAATGTAATTGATGGATGTAGGTGGCTTGGAACTGTAGGAGTTTTTTTCTGCCTAGATATCATCATCTTACCATTTTCTGGCACCAAGCAGCAGTATGTGTCCCAGTGTGAAGGACATCGAGAGCCAGGCTGTGATGCATTACATCTTAGTCCTCAGAGGTAACATTGTATCTGTAGCCATTGCTTGAAGTTCGTTGCAGGTGCCCATGGTGCCCATTAGTCACTTACTAGATTGTAAGTTTATTTGTCACTTCAATATTATAAAAAATTATGTTGACAAAGCGAAATGTGTTAGCCAATAGATTTTATTACAAACTAATATATTTAAGTAGTATTCCATATTTATGAAGATTTTTCATATTTTCAGTTAGATGGGAATGAGGGGCCCATAATTGTCTGTTTCACCTGTCATGCAAGACTCATTCGTTGCAGAAGATTACAACAACAGGCTATTGAGTCAAATGTGGTTCTGGAGCAGTTGCTTTCAGGAGGATCCATGGTATTATCCATTCCATTCATTAAAACATATAAAAGTCCACTGCTGAACATAGGTCTCACTCATAGATTGCTTCATAGGAGGGGTTTTGTCTGAATTGTCATCAGGAAGATGGTGCCGCCCAACCCCTGTTTCTCTTTCCTTCTGTTGCCTCTTAAGACACCCAGATAGTAGATATATATAGGATAGTGGATATTCTTACACTGTCACTGCACAATCCACTTTTCTATGCTGCTTCCCATTGCTATATGGGAGAATGTTTCTAGTGCAAAGTTAAGTTTGTCCTTCAATCCAACTTACTTTTGTTAGAGCAATAGTACTTATTTTTACAAAAACAATTATCAAACTGTTTATACTGTTATATATTACCCTATTGTATATAAACAAATCTCAATAAACAAAGATAAATCTTTGTCAATTTACAGCATTTGTGAATCTGAATCTGAAAATTGTTGAGACTCGATTCTCGGGATAAATGAACTATGTACATTCTTATTTAAGTTTACTCCGAACCCTCACTTTTGTCCGGTGTTTATTATTATTTGAAGTTGTTGTCAGGAAGATGCTGCCCCCCGATCTCCTGTTTCAGTTTCCCCTTTTTACGACATCTGCGGGATGGCAGGGGGTAGTATGGGTTCTCCTACTCCACCACTATAGTGGCTTTTTCTCTTATTTGAAAAACTTATTTCCTTTCAGTCAATACCAAAACCGCATAAGGTTAGAGGTGAGATTAAATTCACACCAATTTATCATATAGATATCTGGCCTGTAGAGTGTGATATAGACAATGATTGCAAGGACGAAGTTTTTTGCCTTGATGCCGTTAAAATTGAGGAAGAGATTTTCGAATATGAGAATTCCAAATTTGAAGAAAATGAGAATCATGAAACAGGTAAGATATACCCCTTTTCTTGATATTATTAAAATAAGGTACAATTTATCTTATGGCAAGTGGTTACTGTAGCCCGTAGGCACAAAATAAAGAGGGCTTCATGTGTAATGTACTGATTTACTGATTTGCCTTTGTCTAAATTCAAAGTGCATGTCAAAAGCACTCTTTTTAATACATTAAAAAAAATATGTTTACCCTGTCAGCTAGTATGCATGTCACTAAAATACATACTGGTAAGCAACCAATTATCTTTGCCATCTTCTTAGTGTCAGTACTAGGTGGTGTGACTCCATGTTTGCCTAGGAGTTGATCTATTTGTGCCTGCCCAGATGGACTCCTCCCTCCTCTTACCTATTTCTGCCGTCAAATAACAGTGCGTGCACTGCTGTGTTCCACTCTGATGGGTATAGAGTCAGAATAATCACAGGCTGTGGGTCATTCCATTTTAGTTGTGGTAGAGCCATGCTGCAGCTATATTAGTAGTATAGTTATAGCATGAATGGGTCGGCTCGACCGGGGAAGGACTACGCTCTCACAGAATACCAGCGTAAAATAGCAGCTTAACACTGCTGTGTTTCGTATGGTGATTGTAGAGAACTGGATACCCTTTTTACTGAAAAAGAGGCATTCCATCGTAGTCCTCATGGGTGACAATGCATCTGCATTTTGATTCTTTATTGAGGACAGATGTAGATGTCTATGGGTCACAGCAACCATTTACCATCGTGTGGACTGTGTGCTCGTTTGTCACCCTATCCTATAAAAATTAAAATGAAAAGATGAGCGCATTGCATCATTAAATCTTCATCATTACAGCCTTCATAAGTCCACTGCTGAACATAGGTCTCACCCACGGAATGCCACAAAACACAGGAATCCATCGCCTTCCTGCATTTCTTACCAGGTCATCATTCCATCTAATGGAGGGCCGCCCTACACTTTGTCTACTGGTACGAGGCTGCCACTCGTAAAACTTCCTCATTCATTGTCATTTCTTCGAGCTATATGGCCGGAATTTCAAATTTCAAAGAATTAATTCAGCATTTGAAACCATGATGTTGAAAGTAACTACAACAGAAGTGAGACGACGGGCCCGTGCTTGTGTTAGTAATCGCATCAATTATTTTGAGCATCAACAAATAAATAATTAGAATTTTTATTAGTCTGCCTAAAAATTTCAATTTTCTACCTCAATCTGGTTTTAGGGGACAATTGAAAAATTTGTAACAAATGCGTGTAAGTTATACCTCAAATGAAAGAGTAACAACCAAGCATGTTTTCAAAAAGGTTCTAACAATAAATTAAAGTACCATCAGTTTTTTTTTAACGTAGTGTCAATAATGTTTATTATTTAAAATGTTAATTATGTATCTTTAAATCGTAGAAAATTTTCGTGAACTTAGTGTCTGTACAAAAATATGTCTGATGACACAGATGCTGAGACTATGTTTTCTTAGATTTCTCATTCATTACTTAAATTAAAAAAAAAAAACAGACGTTAATTAAATTGGCAAATATTAGCAATTAACTGTAAAATTTTTAGTTTTCTCACCAAAAACAAAAAGTATAGTCAGACTTTGTCTAAAATAACTATGGCCTAAATGATCTTCTCCAATCAACAAGTCAATCTTCCAATCATTCTGTATAATGCTTGTCCCGTGTGCGATTCGAAGCATCTATTATTAGATTAATGTAGGTAATTGTAACATGGTGAGAAGAACGTCATCATTATCATTCGAATTTAGTTTCTCTACCATTCTTTCCCTCCAAAAATGAATATGAGAGACATTATTAAAAGTAAAATACTTTATATCTAGGGGACCGGTCAAGTATTACGTAACGCAATTTTTGAAGATTTTTGACCCTCCCACCCCCCTATGTAACGCGCCGTAATGTTTATCTAGACCCCCCCCCCCCCCCCCCCTCGCGCCTAAACGTTACGTAACACCCAATTGACCATTTTTACCTAAAAGTCACAATAACTGCGCAAATTACCGGAAAGTCGCTAAAATAACTTTGTTATTGTTTTATTCGCGTTTGCGGTAATAATAAATAAAACGAGATTTCTTCCTCGCAATACATTGTTTATTGTTTATTTTATTTATTCATATTGTTATTTAATAAACAATCACACAATGTAATAAACATTTGCTTAAGTTTAAAATATGTTAAAATGGGCTCAAATTAGTCCTAATAATTTTACGTGGTAGAGCCATGCTGCAGCTATATTAATAGTATAGTTGTGGCACGAATGGGTCGACTCGACCGGGGAAGGACCACGCTCTCACAGAATACCAGCGTCAAATAGCAGTTTAACACTGCTGTGTTTCGTATGGTGAGTGTAGAGAACCGGAGACGCGTTTTACTGGAAAAGAGGCATCCCATCTTAGCCCTCACGAGTTTTCTTCCTCGTACAACTTCTCTGTGGAATTGTTTACCACCGGCGATTTTTTTCCGGACCGATACGACTTAGGGATGTTCAAAAAAAGACCTTACACCTTTCTAAAAGGCCGGCAACGCATCTGCAATTCCTCTGGTGTTGCGGTTGTTCATGGGCGGCGGTAGTCACTTACCATCAGGTGAGCCGCATGCTCATTTGTCCCCTCTTCTATAAAAAAAAAAATGTTCATGCGGCGGGATGACGCCTGACAGTCGTTCTCCGCTCTACTCGGTTATATGCGCTTCGCCCAGGAGCATTAGTCGCTATGAACAAGGCGACCAAGTTGTATTTATTGAAGTGTGTAATGGCAAAGTTCTTGACTTGTCGGCCTGCTCACGTATGTACACGCACCCGTTTTTGTTGAAGAGTACGCGAAGTCGTTGGAACATTTTAGGCCTTGCTGACTATAGTGTTGCTGGCGTGCTTGATGTTTGGATAGGTAGCTAAAAATATATAATACTTATGACCAGTTTTTTTACGAAATATCTAAGTTTGGTTTATATATCATATACCTACCTAGAATATGTAATATTGTTATATTTTAGCAGTAAACTTACCTGTGTAAAATTCTAAGCATAGTTGCTTTCTCCTTCGTGGCATTTTGGCCACCTTGAACTCTCGTATAGCATCATTTATATGTTCTATAAACTGTTCTTTATTTTTTAGTTTTTCTTTAGCCGTTTTCCAAATTTCGTTGGCATTCTTTTGGCACAGTTGCGCTGGCAAGTTAGCATGAGAGCCTTTATATGCCAAGAAAAGCCAATGATGCAAATCTTATTCTTTTGAGGACATTACAGTATGAACTCACTTGTAACAACACTGACTACAGCAATGTGCTTCTGCGTAAAACGAATACTGATAACGAAAAGAAAATAAAAATGACGTACAATACAGTCGAGGGATTCCCCGTAAAACATAGACAAAAAAGATTACGAAAAAGAAAAGGGTTGCTAACTTGGGAGATTTTAAATCCATTGTTTTTTATTGAAATAAAAAAATGTTACGTAACGCGTTGGTCGAACCCCCCTCCCGCTCCTGTAACGCATCGTAACGTTTTACAAGACCCCCCTCCCCCCAAATTGCGTTACGTAATACTTGAACGCCCCCTAGCAACATTGTATAATTATGTAATTTTATAATTTATCTATTTCTCCCTGGTTGACTGATAGAGAATGCGTTTAAGGTGTCTTACAATAAAAAGTTTTACTTATAATAAATTAAATGTTCAATTCGTGCGTATTTCAGAACCATACATCATACCGACAAATCATTTTTCAAAAGCGTCTGAGAGCAAGATTAAATCAAATTCTACTGATTGTAACATAAACGATGTTTGTAAAGGAAACCTCGATTTAGAAAGCCCTACTATTAAATCAAAGCCTAAAGTCAAAAAAGATAATCAACCAATTAATAAAAAAGGAAATCATCCTGCAAATATTATGAGAAAGAAAATATTGAAACAAAAGAGTGTAAATATACTCACGAAAAGAACGTCAGGGGCATCAACAAAATACATTTTTGAATGTGATGGTTGTAGCAAAAAATTTTCAACAAAAGACATTCTTGCCAAACACATTTCATACAGTCATAAGACGCAAAAGAACCAAAAGAACACCACTGCAGTTCGGACACAAGTTGAACAAACTTCAGTACCACAACTAACTGAAATATTTAATTGTGATATTTGCGAATTTAAAACATCTCAAAAAGGTTGCATTTTGGCACATCTTAACGCGCACGTCGCTGAACAAGTGTACTGTTGTAATAATTGTGATTATAAAAGTATAAAAAAAGATAATTTGCAAAAGTATATGAAAATACATACTGGAGAAAAACCTTTTTCATGTAATATCTGTAAATATCAATGTATTTACAAAAGTCATTTGCTAACACATATGAAAATACATACTGGAGAAAAACCTTTTTCATGTAATATCTGTGAATATAAATGTATTACAAAAAGTGATTTGCAAAGGCATATGAAAATACATACTGGAGAAAAACCTTTTTCATGTAATATCTGTGAATATAAATGTATTACAAAAAGTGATTTGCAAAAGCATATGAGAATACATACTGGAGAAAAACCTTTTTCATGTAATATCTGTGAATATAAATGTATTTCAAAAAGTGATTTGCAAAGGCATATGAAAATACATACTGGAGAAAAACCTTTTTCATGTAATATCTGTGAATATAAATGTATTACAAAAGGTGATTTGCAAAGACATATGAAAATACATACTGGAGAAAAACCTTTTTCATGTAATATCTGTGAATATAAATGTATAGAAAAAAGTTATTTGCAAAAGCATATGAAAATACATACTGGAGAAAAACCTTTTTCATGTAATATCTGTGAATATAAATGTATAGAAAAAAGTAATTTGCAAAAGCATATGAGAGTACATACTGGAGAAAAATCTTTTTCATGTAATATCTGTGAATATAAATGTATAGAAAAAAGTAATTTGCAGAGACATATGAGAATACATACTGGAGAAAAACCTTTTTCGTGTAATATCTGCAAATATCAATGTATTCAAAAAAATAATTTGCAAAAGCATATGAAAATACATACTGGAGAAAAACCTTTTTCATGTAATATCTGTGAATATAAATGTATTACAAAAAGTCATTTGCAAAGGCATATGAAAACACACACTTGAGCAGAACCTTTTTTGTGAGAGATCTGGTAAAATATGTGCAATATTATGTAAACGTGTTTTATATAAATATAAAAGTATACTAGATAAAAATCCATTTGTCATGAGTTCCTTATGTAACTGTAGAACGAGTAGAAAAACCTTTCCGTGCCATATGTGCTAATTGAAACTGCATTTATTCTGAAGAAGCTGATTCAAAAACCAAAGAGGCAACCAAGTGAAATCGAACCTTGAAATATGTACCGAGTGGTTAGTGTAAACAGACCAGACCTTCATGTTTTTTTTTAATTTTATTTAAATCATACTAGTTTGTTTTTATTTATTCGTTTCGACATTTATCGTTACCGTTACAGCCTATAAAAGTCCGCTGCTGAACATAGGCCTCCCCCACGGATTGACTCATAGGGGGGATATTTGCCATAGTTGCCATGCATGTTGGGTTGGCAACCGCGGTTATTTATTTTTATTTGTTACTAGGAAGACGCTGCTGCCCATCTGGTTTATTTCCTCCGTCGCCTAGATATAATATATAGATATAGATGTAAGAATATCCACTAGCCCTTATCATCCCGTGTGTGTCTTAGAGGCGATAGAAAGAAACAAATCAGAAGACGTGCAGCACCGTATTCCTAAGAAAATAAAAAAAACTGTGTTGCCAACCCGCTTGCCAAGCGTGGCAACTATGGCAAATACCCCCCACCCTATGAGGCAATCTATGGATGAGGCCTATGTTCAGCATCAGCAGTTGACTTTAATAGGCTCTCTAACAAGAACACAATAAACGTCGAAACGAAAAAAGGAAAAACATTAGCAATCAATTAAATAAAAAAAAAAACATGGTCTGGTCTGTTTCCACTAACCTCCCATTTGTTTCATATTTGAAAGTTTATTTTTTTTTGTTTTTGAATCAGTTCTTCAGAATAAATGCAGTTTCAATTAGCACATAAGGCACGGAAAGGTTTTTTTACTCGTTCTATTATTCCGTACGAGATGGCTTTTGTAGTCAAGTTATTAATTCATTTCATATTTACACTGTAAAATGATCAGACTGAATTCGGAGTCAAACTGAAACATTAAACTCCTGCCGTGGCAGCTAACTATAAATTAAAGTGAAAGACATTTACATCACTACTTTTGGTTTTTTTTTATCTTAGGTTTACTTTGATCTTATAGATTATCTTAAGCTAATGGAGGAAATGATTTTGTTATTTATTTTAACGTGTGGACATTGTTTTTATTAGTTTTACCTTGACTTGTATTAATAAAACTTTACAGTTTAAGTACTGTAAGGCAGTTTTCTTGCAGAGGCTTTGTTTAGTTAGGTGTTGTTGTAAAGTGAAATGTATCTTCACGATTGTTTGAACTTTTTGTTAAATTGTATATTAGTCAAAGACTTCTTTGTTTATTATTAGAGCGGCAATTCAGAACAAAAACCGTGTGACAGCTGTGGATCGCGGGTAGCCGGCACGGTAAATATGGCACGCGGTTATATTTTCATTTACGACAGTTACTGCTTTTAGGCAAATACGTTACATACTGTTACGCGCCACTATTAATGTCTTGTACATGGCAACACTAGTTACACTAGCGCCCTCTAGTGTCGAGTAAAAGAAAGTGTTGCGCGCCACTATTAATGTCTTGTACATGGCAACACTAGTTACACTAGCGCCCTCTAGTGTCGAGTAGCAGAACTAGGAGTCGAGATCCTTCCAGTAATTTCGGGACCGATATGTACTCGAACATTCTAGATGTCGCTACAGTGGAAGGTTCTGGAAACTGTCTGAGGCCCTATATAAGGCCGGTATAGACCACGACCGAGGCAGTATTGAATTGGCGATACAAGAGAATACTTCGAAGCGAAATAACGGCGCACTGTGTTTTATTATTAGTGTGATTTTAAGTTATAATTAGTGTTGTGTAATTAAATAGTCAATTTTGGTAATTCACTCGGCAGTTTTTAATTATCTCGAACCCCAAGCTCGTAACAATACTTATATGAAATAAACTTCAAATCACGTTGACAAACTGCGCACATAAATAATGACAGCGTATCCTTAGTCACATTAAACAAAATCAGTGTTAGATTGTCGAAAACAACGATCGCGGTTTACAAAACAAAGAACTAGTCTTCCCTCCCGCTCGCAGTCGACTAACCACTCAAACGTCCATGGATACTACGGTATCCAAAATAAAAGTAGCGTTGTGCGTCCTGGATACTATAGTATCCATAGCGTCAAGTTTTCTAAAACTGACATCTATGGACAGCTGCGGTTATTTTTGTGAGTTTTATACATGGAGTTGATAGCTGACGAACTATTTTAAGTACTAAATACGAGATGGCAGTGTAACAAGCCTTGAAGAATGAACAAATATTTGTCTAACTTCAGTGCTTCAGTCGTGTGTTTTGTGTTTTTGTAGTGCCAGCGATTATGTCGTAAGTCTTTTAGTTTTATTTAATATTTCTTAGATTATTATACATCATAGTAAACTAGATGATTTGGGCTTTATAATTATGTATACATATCACAGTTCTAAGTGTAAAATCGAATCATATTTTAAATAAAAACTATAACTGTTTAAAAAAATGGCCATTGTGAAGTCGTCGGCCCAATTTTAATTTTGTTTATTTTGTTTTTCAGTAAAATTATATTTAACCGATTCGTTGCGGCACCAATTTTCAACAACTTTTAGCTGTGGCGGCGAACAAATATTTCATGACATGCCTGGCGTGTCAAGCGCCATAGACATTAATGACACGCCCATTGTCCCATCAGCCATGTGTAAAAGTAATGTTCTTTTTTATGCTTTTTTTTTTACATGTTTAGACCTAATTAAGTTTATTTGATATTAAACATAAGTTAGAAATGGAAGGATACTTGTGTTTTTTTACGTGTTTTCTTTGAAATTGAGAGTAAGTGACTTTTTTTATGAAGAGATTACAAACCTTTTGCACTATTTATTGTTTTATAAAAAAAATATTTATATAAGTAGGTACAGCTAAATCACCCTGGAAAGCCTTGGTTTTTATTAAATTAAATTTTCACCTAATAATAATATTTGTAAATATCAAACAATCAAGAACCTTAATTTGGAAAAAAATAAGGTTTATGATTCATTAATATTTACAAATGTTAAATATTATTTAATGTTATACAAATGTAAAAGTAAAGTCAATTAGAAAACGTCTAATTAGTAAGAATAGCAAAACAAGTGTTTTCAAAAGGAAACAAACGCCGGCGCTATACGGCGGCAGATTGACGAAAGACTATTTATTAGCGAATTTTTTTTTATGCATGAACAGTTTCAAACTGTTTCAAGCAAAAATAAACCTTATACCATATCTCACCAGCACATGGTACTTTGTAGGTCTATTCGGCCATATGATAGTAATACGATGGCAGTTCAACCATTTTAAACAAAATTAAACAATAAGACAAACGCATTGTTTTTTTTAACAGGACACTTGTTTTCCAGAAATTTATTTACAACTAGAGTTTGTGAGCGATCGCAAGAAGTACTATTATTTGTTACTTATTAGACTATTTTTCCACAACATGATTGAAAACCCATAAAGTAAAAAGAGTACCATGTACAAGTTAAAAAAAGGTTGTCAACCCCTAAAATTTCAAATTTTCAAAATATCCAGAAACGAAGCCGCATGCATGAACTACTTGCAAAATAATGAATATTTTGTTCTGGATAAATTTTCCATAAACGCAATTTGAGCGAGTTATAACGATTTAAAAAAAGACACGACTCGTGTGTCATACGCCACACGCAATGCACTTTAAAAACAGAATTAAACTGTATTCACTGAAGATTCCTTAAAAATGTTATTGTGTTCCTCGGGTCTTTTGTTGTGGATAGTTTGGTATCCATGGACATATATCCACAATGGTTCTAAATAAGGGTCGGTACAAACAGCAAAATATGTTTGCAATATTTTTTGCTTTGTTATTTTTTGCCGCCTGGGTCTTGGTTGGTTTGGGTTATGAATTTTTTTTTTCGTTTGGTGTTTCGTCATGCTCTTATCTCATAGGTTTTGTTCTTGTGTTATAATAATGTTATTTTTGTTTACGATTGACGACTGTTGCTCTCTTTTTTATTTAACTTCACTTTAGTCATATGGAGGATGTATTCTACTATTTCAACTCACTTGATTTTCCTTGTTATGTATTGACAATAATTTAATTCTCATATTTAATAAAAATCAATAATTTTTTCCGTAGGTATATGGTTTTCGCTTGGCACAATTTGTTTAAAAAGTGTATGGTAATAATATGGTTTTGTGAAAAAAAAAATGTTTATTATGTCAATAAACTTGATTTAATTATTGGTGTTTAATTTAAAACTTCATCAACTTAAAAAAGAAGGTTAAGTATTTTTCTTCCTTTAGATGTTAATTTTCTATTATATATGACTATTTTAGTTAATAGGCGCGATGACGGGTGTTTTTAAAAGAAATATTATATTTGTAAATTTAGTTTAAATTAGTTTTAACCTTTGCATAACAATTTGAAACTCCGCTGACGATATACGTTTTAATTATCAAAACAGCGCCATCTATCATCAAATGAAAAAAGCCTACATTTTGACTTTAGTAACTAATAAATTATATAAATAACTTACATTTATATGTTTAAATAATTACATTAATAAAATTATTTTAACATCCTAAGTCTCAATTTAATCGTTATTTCATTTTAAGGGTGCAATAATTAAAATTTAAAAATAATAAATAAAAGTGACATCTATTATCTAAAAACATCATGACATCATCTATCAAACGTATGAACATTTATATTATTTTGAACTAAACAACATATCAATTTTCATACGTTTAATACTATATCTGTATGTAAACTGATTAAAACTGGTCCGTCCTGCAATTATTGCAAAATCATCATGAAATCATTATTTCGTGAAATGATGTCATTTCATGATATTTATCACTGTTTGTTGACCATGTATGTCATAATATAGCTTAGCCAAACAAAGACGTTTAACGATATCACTAACTTAACACAATATTGCTATTTCATGACAATATCTTCATATCGTCAAATAGTTTTTCACCGCTAGCGACG